CACATATGGCTAGCTCCAGAGTGTGGCCCTTGGAGCCCTCGGAATCGACTGAACCAAACCAAAAGCATGGAATCCTATAGCCGCATCCGTGAAAATCAAGCTGCATCCAAAGACCAGCTTCATATGTGTGACCTTATTTGCAAGATACAGTTGGATCGTGGTGACCATTGTCACCTTGAGAATCCCAAACCTTCCGGAATGTGGCAACAGGAAGAAATGCAAGAAGTATGCGGCCGCACCAAGCCAGCCTTCTTCGACCAATGCCAGTTCGGTTTAAGGCATCCGTCTTTGCAAGAACCGATGCAAAAGAGCACCCGTGTTCAAACCTCATCCGAGGAAATGTTTAGAAGCCTGGATAACCGCCTGTGTCAAAAAGATCATGCTCATGCCCATGTACCTGGATCATGCAGTGTTGATGGAAAACTTGTACAGGTGTCCCGTTTTTCAGCCTTCTATCCCAGAGTTCTCGCAAAGAAAATTGCCGAGGTGATCATGCGCCCAGTGCATGAACATGTAACCGTCCCGACAATGGTCGTTCAGCAAGGGTGTTTTCCCGTCCGGAAACTGGAAGATCCCGGAAGTCCGTTGGAGAGCACGACAAAACGTTCCAGAGTCAAAGAAGATGAAACGACCAAGAAGGCAAGCCGTAAAAGAACTCATGAAGAAGAATCACCAAAGAAAATCGAGGACAAAAGATGGAAAGGGGTAATGGATAAATATCGAAAGGAATTACCTAAATCAGGGGTAACTAAATGGGATGGTCCTCATAATGCCGAAGTTCAGGTTCTCCAAAGTCTCTGTCCTGAAATGCAAGTCCAGTCAGTAATGGCATGCAAAGGCCGAGAGAAATACATGGTCCACGCAGATCATTTGCCTCACCGAAGAACGGTAGTTTTGAGCCGACTGTCATATGAAGTGTTTGACCTTGGAACCGAAGACCTTCAGTCCATGCCCAATAGCCATCAGAAGAGGAAAGCATCCATGCCTTCACATGTCATGATATGTGTTTTTGGTAGACAAAGAGAACCCACAGAGGTCCCAGGTGTAGGAAAAGCAACAGTTGAAGACCCTGGAACACTGCCTGGGACACTTCACATGCCAGTCCCGATGAGTGACTCCACCAGCGCCTGACCTCCCATGTGTCATGCCCGCCAATTCGTGGACGTCAGCTGCAGTGTCGGTGTCTGGTCCAAGATTTCCCAAAAGAACCCAGAAAAGCATATATCCGAAAGTTGCATCATAATCTTGGTCACCCGACCTCAGAGCGTTTGTCAAAACACTTAGCGGAACTAGGAGCCGAAGAGCTACTGGTCCATGGTGCCTTGGATTACCTGTGTCCCTCATGCGTTGGAAGGCGACCACCAAGTTTGAACCCAGCCGGAACCCTCAAAGAAGCCAGAGACTTCAACCACCGAATTTACATTGATGGTTTTGATTGGAAAAGCACCACGAGGTATCAAGGATATGTTGTTCACTTGATTGATGAAGCCACACCATTTCACTTGGGGAGACGCACTGTTCGTGATGGAATCCAAGCCCAAAAAGTGTTTGAAGAATGTTGGAGCAGCTGGGCGGGAATACCAAGTGAGCTAGTCATGGATTGCGGAAGTGAATTTGTTGCTGAACCATGGAAGGAATTCCTCCAACAAGGGAATATCACCCCAATACTCACTGCAGGGCCATGGCAGAGAGGTAGAATTGAAAAACATGGAGCAATTGTGAAAGAGATGTTGTCCAGAATAGACCAAGCCCAACCAATAAACAACGAAGGAGAATTTGAGAGAGCCTTGTTCCAAGTTTTTCGAGCCAAGAATAGCCTTTCTACAACCTGCGGTTACAGTCCTGAGCAAGCAGTCTTAGGAAAAGCAACAAACCTTCCCGCATCGCTGACAAGTGATGAAAGCACTCCGGCACATATGCATGCAGCCTTCAATGAAGGGCCTGAGGCAGAGAAGTTCCGTGCGGCGCTTGAGCTCAGAGTGTTGGCCCGAAAAGCCTTCATTGACAGTGACAACAGTCAAGCCATACGGAGAGCCACCCTAAGAAAGTCCAGAGGGGAAATCAATGAGTGGAAATGTGGGCAACCCTGTATGTTCTGGGATAAACGCAAATCAGCCAACATGATAGAAAAGGGTAAATGGTGTGGCCCTGCTCAGATCGTCCTGGTTGAATCAAAGGCTATTGTTTGGATAACCCACCTAAATCGGCTGTTGAGATGTGCAAGGGACAACCTCCGTCCTGTCAGCCTTAGGGAGTTTGAGCGGCATGCGTTTTTCAGCCAACAAATAGATGCACAGCAGGCCCAAAAGTTGGCCGAGAATTTGCAAAGGAGACTCCATGAAAGAAGTGGAATGTTCCAATTTTCAGATCTCAGTGAAGTCCCAGTTGAAGCACCCACCGAAGATGATCACCCTCAGGGAATTCAACCTGACGAAGAACCTTCTAGAAGAGCCTCACATGAACCTGTGTCCGAAGCTCGAGAACTGCGTCCCGAAGAAGTGGCCATCCCAGAAAGCGTAGAACATGAATGGAGTGAGACCAGTGATGTGTCACCAAGTAGCTTTGCACCCGAGCCAAATGGGGATAATAATGTTACGGGGAGTAACTTTGGGGAGAACCTAGGTGGGAATGAGAGCATTGAAGACAGCAACACCGTCTATAATGCCTTCTTTTCGGAGTCAAACGTTTCCGGACCTGCCATTCCGAGCGACGAAGACACGCTCTGGGATGATGCTCAAGAGGACCCACGACCATACTGTGAGTATGAATTCGAAGTCCCCAAGCAGCATGTCCAAAGGTTCATGAAAGATCTCAAAATGAACACCTCATTTTTGGCCACTGCAGCCAGGCGTGCACGTTTCGAAGTCCGATATGCCACCTTGAATGCATCCGAGAAAGATCTCTTTGACAAAGCCAAGTCCAAAGAACTTAACTGCTGGTTGGAAACCAGTGCTGTCAGAAAAATCATGAGATCCAAAATTTCCCCCAACCGCATCATGACTGGTCGATGGATTTTAACATGGAAACCCGACCCATCCATGCCCAAGGGTCAAAAGGCCAAAGCCAGACTTGTTGTGCGGGGCTACCAAGACCCCGAACTTGATCAGGTGAGCACTGAATCCCCGACTTTGTCCAGAGATGCTCGAATGCTGTGTTTGCAGGTGGTTTCGTCGATGGGTTGGGTAGTCCAAAACTTTGATATCACCACGGCCTTTCTCCGTGGGAAATCAGATGGAAGGCAATTAGCCATGGAACCCGTTCCGGAACTTCAGGGACTTCTCAAAATGACAAGTGACGAGGTCCTGTTGCTGGAGGGGAACGCATATGGCAGGGTTGACGTACCACTGCTCTTTTACAAGGAGTTCAGACGTCAACTTGAAAAAGTAGGGTTTGAAGCTCATCCTCTTGATAATTGCCTGTTTTTGTTGCGAAACAAAACCAATCCCGAAGCTCTGGATGGAATCTTAGGAACTCATGTTGATGATGGCATAGGGGGGGAATCACCACTATGAAAATGCCTTGAAAGAACTGCAGAAAGTGCTTCCATTTGGACAGAGAGAGTTTAGAAAATTTCGGTTCACGGGTCTTGAGATTGAACAGCTGCCTGACAACTCCATAAAAATCAGCCAAGGACCATATATCAATAAGATCGAACAGATACAAGTACCCAAAAATAGGAGAGCCAATAAAAATGAAATGGCCAATGCACAAGAAGTTCAAGACTTGAGGGCATTGTGTGGAAGTTTACAGTATGCAGCTGTACATAGCCGACCCGATATAGCAGCAAAGGTAGCCTTTATCCAAAAGAACATTTGCAAGGCGACAGTGTCAACTCTCCTGGACGCCAACCGAGTGCTGATTGAAGCCCAGCAGACAGCCGACACGTCCATAATGGTGAGACCTTTGCCATTAGAGCGGATCACCTTTGCGAGTTTCGGTGATGCGAGTTTTGCTAGCGCTTCTCAGCTAAAGGCCCAACAGGGGCTGTTCATCGTTGCCTGCACGCCCGAACTTGCTGCCAACAAAACATGCGAAACCAGTCCAACGTCCTGGAACAGCAAACAGATAGGTAGAGTGGTGAGATCAACGCTTAGTGCCGAGGCATATGCAATGAGCTCTTCTCTTGACAAATTAACTTGGCTTAGGTGTTTATGGGGTTAAATCCTAAGCCCAACCTTCAAGTGGCAATATCCCGAACGTTCCCTACAAGCACGTCCCAAAGCTCTACTTATTACAGACTGCAAAAGTTTATACGACTTAGTTAGTCACTAAACTGGCAGTACACAACTGTGAGGAGTGGATAACTACTGTGGAGGTAATGCTCATAAAGCAGCAGGCAGAAGGGCATTTGCAGTGCCGTTGGATTTCAACAGCAATAATGCTGGCAGACTGTCTGACGAAGCCGATGGAATCCTCTTTTCTGAGGTCAATGCTACGGCTGGGAAGATTTAGAATCTTTGATGAAAGCCAAACGTTGCAAAACAACTCACACCGCAAGATCGCGGCCAAGTGGGTATCCTTACCAACTGCAGCACTGGAAGATGAGGATCCGAAAGTACATCCAAAAGAAAAATAGACCAGTGTGAATTGAATAGCAAAGGATGTACGAACCATATGCCACCTGCAGGCTGCCTGGGGAATCAGGGACTTCGCCATCGCCACTGCGCATGGCTCAAGGCACGTGAGGTGCAAAAGCGAGGACGCGGCTGCTGCGGGCAGCACAGGTATCGAGAAGTGTAACAAGTTCATAAGGGCCCAAGGGGTCACGGTGAAGAGCCCTATAAGGGGAGTTTTTCCTTTTGGGGTAGGAACCCCAAATCCAAGAAACTGGTTGGTACCGTACCGGTTTCCCTACCTTTGTGGACTCTTACCTAGGGAGCCACATAATATCATATATATATATATTATATATATAATATAAATATATATATAATATATATATATATTGATACGTATATATATATGTATGTATATTTGTGTATGACTGTATATGATACAAACACACCTCGCGAATCCTCGCATTAGATTTTCACTTGGCTTGTGCCAACACTGGCTGAATTCAAGACTCTAAAGTCTGGGCGGTATCACGCAAGTCCTTGAGCTCGGTGGCTAAAACCTTTGGAAAACGCCCAGTGAGGGTCGAGCAAATCACACTGACCAAATTGGCCAAACTCATCCGCCCCAACACATGGCGAATCCTGCGTGGAAACCTTCGGGCCTTCGGAAAACCAGCAAATGCTCGGACAACGATTTCGCTCTCCAGTAGCTGAAGCACTTGACAGGCTCCAGGAAGCTCACTGGCCTGACAAAGCCCATCGCTTACCACTAGATCTATCATCCACTATCCACTGTAATCCCCGAGCCTCCACCGTCTTGCGCACATATGGTAAGATCATCTGCAAGAAGATTGCACGTGGCAGGAGCTTCAAGTAGTCTCTCTGCTGCTTGTCAAAGGAAGGAATGCGCAATTCCTGATTCGGTTAGCCGCCAGATTGTCAAGAATTTGGGGGAAATACATGGGAAAGAACAAGAGAAATCAGAGTACAGCCTCGCTGAAGTTTCGCTGAGCATCATGCTCCAAATGACAGAAACCACAGGCTGAGCCCTTCTGGCATTTTCCTTTCACCAAGAGGATGCATGGCCTTCGACAAATGTTGGGATGCCCGTGGCTTCCCAGCGAAGGAATCTCCTGACCGGATGTTTTTCTCAACACCAAAATATCCAGACCGACCGGAGAAAGAAAGTATGCACGGAACATTCAACGCTTCAAAACCAGGAAACAAACATGGAAAAAAAACTCCTAACTTCGAATTTTGCATGGTCTACGATGTTCAGGCACATAGGACTTCCAGAAAACCGGTGCCAGCCGCCTGCCAGCCGCCAGTACCCCGCCGCCTGAACGCGAGGTGCGCCAATTTCGTTAGATGGCAGAGACGGCAGCTGAGACCTTTCCTGAAGTTTGGACACCTGACACGAGAGACACGAGACGCAGCCGATCTGCCGATCGTCAGAATCCCTGAAACGGATTCTAAACTTGAAACCTTTGCTAATCCTTTGCTAAGCCTTTGCAAGTTCGGATCTGAAGGTCCACCATCTTCGGACTTTGTTTCCGACGCGCTGTGTCTTGGAAAGGTAAGAGCAAAAGAGCAAACATGATAAAAACACCTGAGCTTGAACCTTTGATTGAGGTGCATCAAGCGCATATATGTTGAAATATGTTGAAATTAAAATCAAATGAATTCAAATGATAATTCAAATGATATTAAATGTATCTCAACAAGTGGAGCCTTTACCTGTCGAAACCCAGCGGACCTGCAATGCGAGCCGCTTCTGATCATGCATAAAGTCAAGGCTGGTTGCATCTTTCGGTACTGTCAAAGTCTTCCTTGGCTTCATGGTTTCAAGAAAAGCGAAAAACACAAGCTTCCGGGATGCAAAATCATGCAAAATACTAATGTGGCCAAACCCAAATCCGAAACCTTCAAATTTTGGATGGTATATACCACCCATTTCTGTTGAACATTGGGGATGGTTTATGGCTTTAGGCTTGCCACATTTCAGAAAGCAGAGATTCAGCACTGGTGGACAGCTCCTTGCTCGGACCTCTGCTACTCGTTCAACAACCTCTTCGATGAAGGTCTTCTGGTAGCAGAAGGCAGCCATGACCCAAGTGGCAGGGAGGAGTGGCAGACCCGAGTGGTAACGTTGCCGGCGAGCAAATTTGCTGCGATGCCAAGGTGACCCTGGTGATGTAGTATAAGCCCGACAGGATGTCTGATGGGCCAATGGCAATCATTTGAAAAAAATCCCACAATCAAATAAGCTCCCGACAGTTCCCCCGACAGTTCCCCCCACTTTCGCATAGCTCATCATCGCAGGATTGCTGATGAGGTATTTTTTACAAAATAAAGGATACAGTAAATGACCGCAACTGTTGCAGTTACAACTCTTGTCACTCCTTCCCTCTATCTCCGGCTCCACCTTGATTGTCCGGTCGCCCTCCTCGGTTGAGAGTGCCGACCCAACAAAATGCTTCTGGGAATCTCATCAATGATCCGCCAAAATCCATGAAAATTGGATCAACCCTTCCTAAGCAGAATTGGAACGCATGCCCTGGTGCCTGCTGGACTGGGTCAAAGCCTGGTACCCCCAACCCTCCCAAGAATGTGGCCAGAATAGACAAGTAAATGGGATGATCATGTGCAAAGTAATGTGGATGAGATCATCATCACCAAATGATCTTCATCAAAAAAAGGCATCATCACTTATCGGATTTTGGGTGTTTAATTTTGACCCATGGCCCAAAACCACAGCCAGAAATGCTGCCATCGGACAAGTTCCCTCTGCTCCGTCGCCTTGGTTTCAACACATTGCAGCATCTGTACATCTTGCCGCATCTTAACCGCCTGGCGTTCCGACACAGTTCGAAGATCCGAAGGTCCAAAGGCGGTTCCTAAAATAGGGGTACCCCCAAATCATCCATTTTAATGGGATTTCCCCTTATAAACCATCCATTGTGGGATCCCCCATTTATGGAAACCTCCTTATAAAGGAGACTAAAGGAGCAAACATTTCGGTGCAAACATGGGGAATTAACCGTCAAACCTGGGCGGTTTAACCTGGTTTTATCCGCCGACCCCTGCCGTCAGCAGGGGGAGCGCGTCAGAGGAGGCCTTACTAGCAACAAGATGCCAGAAGGGGCGAAGAGTTTGTGCAGAACGAAAGCCGGCTCCAGGAGGACACGAGCAGGGTGGCAGTTGGCAGTGTAGAAACGCAGGAAAAGTCAAGGTTTGGAGCTAGTTTCTAGTCGGTTCAGAAAGTGACGTTTGGCAGTCTGGGATACGGGCCGCGGGCCCAATCCGTCCTTCACTGCCATGGTGTTTTAGCCCTGCGACACGGTCCTTGGACTCCAGCTTGGACCGAAGCGGTGCAGAACGAAAGCCGGCTCCAGGAGGACACGAGCAGGGTGGCAGTTGGCAGTGCAGAAACGCAGGAAAAGTCAAGGTTTGGAGCTAGTTTCTAGTCGGTTCAGAAAGTGACGTTTGGCAGTCTGGGATACGGGCCGCGGGCCCAATCCGTCCTTCACTGCCATGGTGTTTTAGCCCTGCGACACGGTCCTTGGACTCCAGCTTGGACCGAAGCGGTGCAGAACGAAAGCCGGCTCCAGGAGGACACGAGCAGGGTGGCAGTTGGCAGTGCAGAAACGCAGGAAAAGTCAAGGTTTGGAGCTAGTTTCTAGTCGGTTCAGAAAGTGACGTTTGGCAGTCTGGGATACGGGCCGCGGGCCCAATCCGTCCTTCACTGCCATGGTGTTTTAGCCCTGCGACACGGTCCTTGGACTCCAGCTTGGACCGAAGCGGTGCAGAACGAAAGCCGGCTCCAGGAGGACACGAGCAGGGTGGCAGTTGGCAGTGCAGAAACGCAGGTAAAGTCAAGGTTTGGAGCCGCAGAACGAAAGCCGGCTCCAGGAGGACACGAGCAGGGTGGCAGTTGGCAGTGCAGAAACGCAGGAAAAGTCAAGGTTTGGAGCTAGTTTCTAGTCGGTTCAGAAAGTGACGTTTGGCAGTCTGGGATACGGGCCGCGGGCCCAATCCGTCCTTCACTGCCATGGTGTTTTAGCCCTGCGACACGGTCCTTGGACTCCAGCTTGGACCGAAGCGGTGCAGAACGAAAGCCGGCTCCAGGAGGACACGAGCAGGGTGGCAGTTGGCAGTGCAGAAACGCAGGAAAAGTCAAGGTTTGGAGCTAGTTTCTAGTCGGTTCAGAAAGTGACGTTTGGCAGTCTGGGATACGGGCCGCGGGCCCAATCCGTCCTTCACTGCCATGGTGTTTTAGCCCTGCGACACGGTCCTTGGACTCCAGCTTGGACCGAAGCGGTGCAGAACGAAAGCCGGCTCCAGGAGGACACGAGCAGGGTGGCAGTTGGCAGTGCAGAAACGCAGGAAAAGTCAAGGTTTGGAGCTAGTTTCTAGTCGGTTCAGAAAGTGACGTTTGGCAGTCTGGGATACGGGCCGCGGGCCCAATCCGTCCTTCACTGCCATGGTGTTTTAGCCCTGCGACACGGTCCTTGGACTCCAGCTTGGACCGAAGCGGTGCAGAACGAAAGCCGGCTCAAGGAGGACACGAGCAGGGTGGCAGTTGGCAGTGCAGAAACGCAGGAAAAGTCAAGGTTTGGAGCTAGTTTCTAGTCGGTTCAGAAAGTGACGTTTGGCAGTCTGGGATACGGGCCGCGGGCCCAATCCGTCCTTCACTGCCATGGTGTTTTAGCCCTGCGACACGGTCCTTGGACTCCAGCTTGGACCGAAGCGGTGCAGAACGAAAGCCGGCTCCAGGAGGACACGAGCAGGGTGGCAGTTGGCAGTGCAGAAACGCAGGAAAAGTCAAGGTTTGGAGCTAGTTTCTAGTCGGTTCAGAAAGTGACGTTTGGCAGTCTGGGATACGGGCCGCGGGCCCAATCCGTCCTTCACTGCCATGGTGTTTTAGCCCTGCGACACGGTCCTTGGACTCCAGCTTGGACCGAAGGCGTGCAGAACGAAAGCCGGCTCCAGGAGGACACGAGCAGGGTGGCAGTTGGCAGTGCAGGAACGCAGGAAAAGTCAAGGTTTGGAGCTAGTTTCTAGTCGGTTCAGAAAGTGACGTTTGGCAGTCTGGGATACGGGCCGCGGGCCCAATCCGTCCTTCACTGCCATGGTGTTTTAGCCCTGCGACACGGTCCTTGGACTCCAGCTTGGACCGAAGCGGTGCAGAACGAAAGCCGGCTCCAGGAGGACACGAGCAGGGTGGCAGTTGGCAGTGCAGAAACGCAGGAAAAGTCAAGGTTTGGAGCTAGTTTCTAGTCGGTTCAGAAAGTGACGTTTGGCAGTCTGGGATACGGGCCGCGGGCCCAATCCGTCCTTCACTGCCATGGTGTTTTAGCCCTGCGACACGGTCCTTGGACTCCAGCTTGGACCGAAGCGGTGCAGAACGAAGGCCGGCTCCAGGAGGACACGAGCAGGGTGGCAGTTGGCAGTGCAGAAACGCAGGAAAAGTCAAGGTTTGGAGCTAGTTTCTAGTCGGTTCAGAAAGTGACGTTTGGCAGTCTGGGATACGGGCCGCGGGCCCAATCCGTCCTTCACTGCCATGGTGTTTTAGCCCTGCGACACGGTCCTTGGACTCCAGCTTGGACCGAAGCGGTGCAGAACGAAAGCCGGCTCCAGGAGGACACGAGCAGGGTGGCAGTTGGCAGTGCAGAAACGCAGGAAAAGTCAAGGTTTGGAGCTAGTTTCTAGTCGGTTCAGAAAGTGACGTTTGGCAGTCTGGGATACGGGCCGCAGGCCCAATCCGTCCTTCACTGCCATGGTGTTTTAGCCCTGCGACACGGTCCTTGGACTCCAGCTTGGACCGAAGCGGTGCAGAACGAAAGCCGGCGCCAGGAGGACACGAGCAGGGTGGCAGTTGGCAGTGCAGAAACGAAGTTAAAGTCAAGGTTTGGAGCCGCAGAACGAAAGCCGGCTCCAGGAGGACACGAGCAGGGTGGCAGTTGGCAGTGCAGAAACGCAGGAAAAGTCAAGGTTTGGAGCTAGTTTCTAGTCGGTTCAGAAAGTGACGTTTGGCAGTCTGGATACGGGCCGCGGGCCCAATCCGTCCTTCACTGCCATGGTGTTTTAGCCCTGCGACACGGTCCTTGGACTCCAGCTTGGACCGAAGCGGTGCAGAACGAAAGCCGCCGGCTCCAGGAGGACACGAGCAGGGTGGCAGTTGGCAGTGCAGAAACGTAGGAAAAGTCAAGGTTTGGAGCTAGTTTCTAGTCGGTTCAGAAAGTGACGTTTGGCAGTCTGGGATACGGGCCGCGGGCCTAATCCGTCCTTCACTGCCATGGTGTTTTAGCCCTGCGACACGGTCCTTGGACTCCAGCTTGGACGAAGCGGTGCAGAACGAAGGCCGGCTCCAGGAGGACACGAGCAGGGTGGCAGTTGGCAGCGCAGAAACGCAGGAAAAGTCAAGGTTTGGAGCTAGTTTCTAGTCGGTTCAGAAAGTGACGTTTGGCAGTCTGGGATACGGGCCGCGGGCCCAATCCGCCCTTCACTGCCATGGTGTTTTAGCCCTGCGACACGGTCCTTGGACTCCAGCTTGGACCGAAGCTGTGCAGAACGAAAGCCGGCTCCAGGAGGACACGAGCAGGGTGGCAGTTGGCAGTGCAGAAACGCAGGTATATACAGTCAAGGTTTGGAGCTATAGTTTCTAGCTGGTTCAGAAATTGACGTCTTGGAAGCTGGGCAGAACGATAGCCAGCTCCAGGAAACCATGAGCAAGTTGGCAGTTGGCATGCAGTGCAGAAAGGCAGGTCAAGCTTGCGGGTTCAGACAGTGACGCTTGGCACTGTCTGGACGGCTGGCTGGACAAGACGAAAGCGAGCGGCACAAGGACGCAAGCAAGTTGGAAACTAGCAGTGTTATTAGTCCAGCGTTGCCGTCACGTTCCAGCTTTCCCGGCGGCATGTGCGTCCGGCAGAGTTTCTGTGCCTGGCTTTGATTTGGCCAGCGGCCTTTTCTGAGTAAACGATTGTTGCGCACGTTGGGCATGCGTGTTTGTGAATGCGACCGGTGACAAAGCCGCCAACGACACGGAAAAATTTTCCGCACGCAAACGAGTGATTAATTTGCCCAGTCTCCACAGTGCTTTTCACTTGTTGCTGGCAGAATGGACATTGGTACCGG